GCGCTGGGGGCCCACCCTCTGGGAGCCAGCAGGCAGGAAGCTAGCCAGCCGGAAGACTGGCGCTCCCCACCCGAGGCTCCCTGTGCGCCGGAAGCCCTCCTTCCGGGGAACGACGAGGCCGGGAGTGAGCCGCCGGTCCAAAGACCCAAAAAACCGGCGCTCCCCGCCCGAGGCTCCCTGTGCGCTGGGGGCCCACCCTCCAGGAGCCACCAGGCAGGAAGCTTATAGAACATTCTTGATTTGAGTTTGCTGGAAAGTTGCTTCATGATCGTGAGGTCATACATTTCGGCAAAGTGAGGGAGCAGCTAAATCCATTTTGTGTGCATCATGTATATCTTCGGAGGCACGTGATGTTGATTTGTGCCATTATTGGTGCTGATTGCTTTGATTGTTGGTTAAAGTGGAGTCTGCTAGGGTTTTCTACCTCAGATTTCCTATTTTCTTTTTGTAATTAATAAATAGTTTGAGAGAAACTACTTCAAGACTATGTAAATCTCTTGTTTCCCATCAGATATTTACACTTTGTCCTGGCATTCATTGAAGAATTTTCAAGTCACCTCCCTCTCTCATGGAAATCATAATTCTCCCTGTTTTCTTTCCTTTATAGTGGGTTACAATCAATTGCTACTATCCTTTTACCTTGTAGTTCATTGTCCAGATTTGATCGGTGGAAGCCCTTTGCTGGCTCCTGTGCTTTTTTTTAAAGACAGGGCCTCGGTAAGTAGTTCAGGCTGGCCTTGAACTCACTATCTGAGCCTAGCTCCCTATGTAGCCCAGGCTGGCCTCAAACTCCCAGTGATCCTCCTGCTTCCGCCTCCCAAGTGCTAGGGTTACAGACGTGTGCCACCACACCCAGGTTTCATGTGCACTTTTGACATGTTCCCTATCATTTAAAAACACTTTCTTACTTTGTAACTCAGACATTTTCCAAAGCTTTTTTTTTTTTTTTTTTGTACCAGGAATCAAAGTCAGGCCTTGCACTGTGAACCAGGTGCTGTGCTGCTGAGCTACATCCCTAGTCCATGGTTCAGGCATTTTAAGATCATTTTGTACCTTCCCTGTCCCAGCTCTGGAATCTGACATTTCTTTAAGGAGTCCTAGTTCCTTTTGTTGGAGAATGGTAATAAGAAACCAAGACCTGGATAATAAATGTGCTCATTGCTACTGGGATTTATTGCTTCTGGACCGTTTGTCAAGTTCATATGGTTAACTACAGTTTAGATTGGTTTTTCCAGTTCTAACTCTAAACACCAAGGTTCTTTCTAGTATTCGTCTCTCTGTTTCACATTTGCATCTCCTTTCTCTGTTAGTGAGGAATCTGATACCTGTGGGTTGGGTATTTTGTCCCAGCAAGAAAGTAAATAAGCAGTAACCAACATCAGTGTAGAAACAAACCTCCCAATACAGCTAGAATTCAAGGATGGTCTGTGATACCGTTTGTATTTGTTGATAAATAGGCAAGGTACTGCAGTCAGAGGTTACTTGGTTTTATCCTTCGATTCTCTCTGTCAGTGTGATTGTATTATTTACTTGAAATGTCATGTGTTACTATTTGTAATTCATTAGCAGTTCATTCATCTTTATTGTTTTTTAGTCTGTAAAACATTGTCATGGTTCCAAAAGTCAAAACTATGAAAAACGTATTCCCACAGACATGTCACTACCTCTTGTTCTTCCACTTCACTAGGTAATTAATCATGTTTGCTCCTCATTTAACAAACCATATAGATGTTCTTATTTTGCTTTCTTATACAAAAGGTAGGCAGTAGTATATGTACTTTTTTGTTTTTTTCTGGTGCTGGAGGTTGAGTTTAGGGCCTTGCACATCTTGGTGAATACCACTGAGCTACACATCCAATCCTATATTTTCTGAGTTGTTTGCTCATCTATTTTGATCTTTTTTTTTTCCTGTTTGAGTTTTAGTTGTTTTTTCCCTCAATTTTTAGGGTTTTTTCTTTCAGTGCTGGGGATTGAACATAGGACCTCACACATGCTAGGCTATAGGATGTGTCTACGACTGAGATACATCTCCTGACATCTTTATCTGTTAGGGATATTAGCACTTCATGATATATGTTGTAAATATTTTCTCTCAGATTATTGTTTATGTGTAGGTGACTTTATAGTGTTTTTTAGGTGTATTATTTTGTGTTTGAAATATACATGTATATTTTAAAAATTGCATTTGGATTTGAGTCTTGGGAGCCTTTTGTTATATATAACCAGCTTTGAAAGGAATTTATGTTTCTTGAACTTATGTTAGGTTTTCTGTTCATACTTAGGCCTCAGATCCATTTGGAGTTTTTTTTTTGTGTTTGTGTGAGCTGTGGGTCTGATTTTACCTTTTTCCAAATGGCTGTCCAAGTATTCTAGTACTACAATTAAGAAGTGCATTTTAGCCCTGTCACTTCAGGTGCTGTTGTTTTTCTTTTTGTGGTACCAGGATTGAAAGCAGGAGTCGATGAGCTGCATCTTCAGTTCTTTTAAATTTTGAGATAGGCCCTCAGTAAGTTGCCCATGCTTGGCTCAAACTTGTGATCCTCCTGCCTTATCCTCCAGAATAGCCAGGATTGCGAAGGTGTGCTACCATACCCTGCACTGCTTTTGCTTTTCATTGGATAGCAGACATGAGTGACTAGTCAAGCTTGTTATCTGTAGTTGAAATTAGCATTTGCCTTAGCTAAGCCCTTTTGTTCTTTTTTCTTTAGCGTTTTGTCTTTTACTTTCTGGATGCATTCATCTCTGCTTTATTTCCTCTTTTTCTTGCTTTGCTTTATCTGTGTGTCTTGAGTTTCTTGTTTTGTGGCTTGTGTATAACTTTGCACAGAATAGGAATTTATAACTATTTTGCAAATGGTTAAAAGATTTTTGAGTTGATACCTGAGAATCATTGTGATGGTGTTTCTCAGCCTTTCCAGAGCTGATCCAATCTGGGTTCCAGCCTGCCCATGGCATTGACTTTCCTGCCTACAGTCCAGACGACGGGGGTCTTCATGACTCTTTGTTTCACTGGATCACAAGAATGACAAAACTATAGATATCAGGAAAGATCAAGTCTACTGTGTGCTAGCAGTTTTAGAGCTTGTTATTCTTTTTATTGAGTGAAATTCAATCAGTCTGGCCCATTAAGCTCTCCTGAGAGTTGTACTCTGGTTACCTTCCCATGGATTGTATTGTTCTTGGTTGCTTCATATGGAATGTTTCCTGTGGCCATGTTGTTGGAGTGAAGTTACTTCCTCAGTGAGCCCTTGGGACTAGTGATGCCTTCTTCTCTATGAGGAGGAAGAGCAGCTGGGGACTTCCCCTCCTGTGCTTTGGTCTTGTGCTGAAGGGATGTGAAGAATAAACACCCATCTCATTCTGACCCTCACCGTGTCTGCTCCTTCCTTTAAGTGAGGTAAATCAAGACTCTGTGACATTTATTAAACATTAAATTGTGCCAGAAACAAATGTATTAAAAGCATGAAAATCACAGAAAAGCACCACACATAGCAGAGTGGTGAAGAGCACAGGCCCAAGGTCGAATCCTTGGAGTTACCAGCTTTCTCACCTTGGGAACTGGTGAGAATACCTGGCTCCCCAGGTCCTGCCCCTGACCTGCAAAAGTAGGGCTTACTGAGAGTGTCAGGCTGCCATTCTGTCGTGACAATGTAATTGCCCTGTGTAAGTCCTTTGGGTCCTGTGTGTACCCAAAGCTTGTGTCAGGAGCCTTCCTGGTTTGAATCTGTTCTTTAAAAAGCTCATACTTTAGATATTTTTTCAAGCTTGCCCTTTCTTATTATTATTTATAGTTCTTCTCTGTCATTTCTTGCTGTGATTTTCACAAAATCCGTAGGAAACAAAATCCCAAGCCACCTGCCTCTTCACAGTTTTCTGTGATAGTTCTTTCTTATCTTACTAGAAGAGGATTTTGCATATGCATTTTCTTTCCTCCTCGTTTTGTAGTCTCGCTGATTCCCATCCATCTTTCCACTTATCTAATGAATAGATATCCATACTACTGGCTTGTTCCAAAAAGCATTTGAGGCAGCTTACGGAATTAGAGAGTAAAAGCATGCAAGTGAGAAAATTGGACTAAGACAGGAATTGCAGGCAATAAATGAGCTTGCAGAGTGCTGAGGGCGGTGTGAGATGTACACTGCGGTCATATGCAGTTGTAAAGGCAGGCACCGGCTCGCCCTGAGCCTCCCAGCAGACACAAGGGACATGGGATTTGTGAGGGATGCTACAGTCTATAAGATAAACAAGTAGCTTAGGAGAAGCCTGGCTTTTCCTGCTACTGAGGCTTAGGTGAATATTTTTTAGTGTTCTTTGAACTCAAAGAATATTTCATCATTTTTTTCCTGCTAGAGTTCTTTGTGTGCTTGGTTATATTCTGAAAATGGAAACGAAACCTCTTCCCCAGGAGGGTTTGATGGCTGGAGAATTAGGAGTTTCTGCTTATTGACAGGAGTTGGTTAGAAATGGAAAATGACAGCCATGGAAAGGACATTGGTATTTATAGATTACTTTTTTAGTGCTATAGAGCTCAGAAAATGTTTCATACATATATAGTCTCTCTCCTTTGAGAATGCAGTGTGGGGCCCTTGATAACATGAAGAGTTTTAAACCAAGAGAGACTGAGTGCCGAGTTCACCTGTGTACCAAGACAGCTAAGCTGTTTATTGTAAACATGCTATTGTTGTGTAGTGCATTTCATTTTCTTTCATAAAAAATTCTTCTAGGAGGGAAACTTCTGTGTTAATTAACATTTAATACAATGCTTTGTTGGTAAGACTATTAGAGGGGGTATATAATCTATAAAGCTTTTAAACACCATTTCATTATTTAAACTTCAGTAGGATATATTTAAGTTTTATCTAATTCACACTCCTTTTAAATCAACAAAGAAACAGCACAGAAAAAGCAAAAGATTATTTCTTTTCTTCCTCTTGGTTTACAGGTGCCCTCACCACCAATGGCATAAACCCTGATACCAGCACTGAAATTGGACGCGCTAAGAACTGTCTTAGCCCTGAAGATATAATTGACAAATATAAAGAGGCCATTTCTTATTACAGCAAGGTGATTTTATTGCTTTGTAAATTTTTTACATAATTGTGTTGTTTCAATCACAAGTTCCTATTTTACCTTATATAATACTGCAGTATGTCTTAGTTGTTTTGGTAAGTAATCATAGATTATTCTCTATTGTATGCATAAGTTTCTTTATCAGGTTCAAAACAGTGTATATTTAATATATAACCTTGGAAAAGGGAGGAAACATTTTTGCATCTATTTTTAGATCTTTTATCAATGTACAAAATGGTGAGCATACTGTACATTTACTGTGTGGTGAACTACATTTTTCATTTGGCATATAATGTGTTTTTTCTGTGTTACTAAATTTTCCATACCATGATTTTCAATGGCATATATAGTGCAGTGTTCCATTTTAGGACGCAAAGTTCTTTTTGCTTTGAAATTTTTTTTCTGGTGCTGGGGATTGAACCCATCACCTTGTGCATGCTAGGCACATGCATAGCCACTGAATTATATCCCCAGCCCTTAAAAAAAAAATCACAATTCCAAATTTTTACTAAAATACTGAAAAAACAAAACAAAACAAACAAAAAACTCAAACTGAGCTGGGCATGGTGGCGCACGCCTGTAATCCCAGCACTCAGGAGGCTGAGGCCAGGGGATTGTTGCCAGTTTGAGGCCAGCCTGGGCTACAAAGTGAGTTCAAGACCAGCCTGAACTGCATAGTGAGACTCTGTCTCAAAAAGACCAAACCAAATGAAGCAAAACATTCAAACTGGTAGAAGGCTGGTTTCAAGTAACAAAAAAGACCCCAACCTTTCTTCCCCTGAGTGATGATTACTGATAGTTTGGTATATCCCTTGGATGACTTTTTAAGCCTCTGAAATACACAGATGTTTTATTTACGTATATTCGTTTGCAGCTTGCTTTGTGCAGTGGGCATAGATGACAGGTGTCTCCCACCTCCAGTGTGCTTGGCTCTTCCAAGTACTGTGGTGAGGTTTGCACTGTGTGTGTCATAGTTCATTTGTGAGGGACTGTCACAGACAACACTCAGAGACACTGCTTTCATCACATTCACAGCTGGCCATGATTTATTTCATCATTTTCTTACCTGAAGACACTTAGAATTTCTCACTTTTCTGCTGTTAGAAAATTGCTTTGAGGAACATTCTTGTGTATACATTCTTCTGTTCTTGTGGGAGCATCCCTTTAAAACAATGCTTCGATAAGTAGCCTTGTAGGTAAATCTTTTGGGACTGGTTTTTTTTTTTTTTTAAGGCAAAAGTTCCTAGAAGTAGACTTGGGCTAAAAAATATATATTTTTTTTAGGATTACATATTTCTGTATTGTCTTCCAAAAAAGGTTGCTAACAATTCACTCTCCCACAGACAAATGCTTGCTATTATTTTTTAATTTTTAATTTTTTTGTCTTTTTGAGACAGGGTCTCCCTGTGCAGTTCAGGCTGGCCTTCAGGTCATGGTGTAGCCCAGGCTGGTCTCGAACTCTCAATGATCCTTCTGCCTCAGCCTCCTGAGTGCTGGGATTGTTATTATTCCTTAAAATATTTGCCAGTCTGATGGGCAGAGGTAATTTTTTGATGTATTTCTTCACTGTGATAAAGTACCAAATATTTTGTGCCTGTTAGCCATCTGTATTATCCATTTGTATCCTTTGTATGTGTGTAAATTTTTTTTTTATTGTTTTGCAAGAGCTTTTCATATGTGAGAAATATTAATTCTTGCTTTTTATTTCTAGACGTTGGAAATATTTTTTCTTTTTTCTTTTTTGTGTGTGGTGCTGGGGATGGAGCCCAGTGCCTTTCACATATTAGACAAGTACTCTTTCACTGAGCTACACTCCTAGCCTACAAATCATTTCTTTCTATTTGCCTTTTGATCTTCTTTATAAGATTTTTCTTTTTGGCCTGTGATGAAAATAAATTTTTAATGTGATGATTCCTTTCCTTGTGGTTTTTATACTTGGTATGCTTAAAATTTCTTAACAGGTTGGGCATGGCAGTACATGCTTATAACCCAGAGTTCTAGAAAGCTGAGGATGGAAGATTGGCAAGTTTGAGCCCAACCTACCAATGTAGTAGTTTAGTGAGACCTTGTCTCAAAATAACAAACATATACAAAGCGTTAAGGATATGCTATAGCTTATTGTGAAGTGTTGGATTCAGTTTTTAGTACAGCAAACAAACAGTCATCCCAAAACAAAACAGAAAAAACTTAGCAATAGAATAAAACTTTTCCTCAGTTGTTTAATCTCTTAAATGGGGGCTAAATAGTATTCACAATCAGAAAAGTAGTTAGGATAAGCTCGGACAGCAGGTACAGATTATATCTGTATTGTCCATTATTAGAACTTTAAAAGAGTTATATCATTATATTTTGTCTGCAGTAGGATATAAAAGTATAACTTATTTTCCCCAGTGATTCTGTAATCATGCCACTGCATTTTATGAATTCATGTGTTTTCCTTCTCAGTCACTCTGTCTCTCTTTCTGTTTGTATGTCTTTCTGTCTGTCTCTTTCCCAGTCTGTTTCTATGTGTCTGTTGTGTTACTGTGAATTGAACCCAGAACTTCTGTACTGAGCTACACCGCCAGCCGCTCTTCCCTTTAGATTTTTAAATTTTGAGACAGAATCTCACTAAATTGCTCAGGCTGGACCTGAATAGTCTTCCAGATTGCTAGGTTCATAGACATACTCTACCACATTTGGCTTTGCTAATCTATCTTTCATTAACTCCAGCACTGTGATATTTTAACTACTGCAGTTTATTTCATATGTAAGAGTATGAGTCCTTTTTCTCTTCTTGCAGTACTGGGGAATTGAATCCAGCGTCCCGAGTATGATAGACAGGGACTCTTCCATTGAGCTATCCTCCAGCCCACCTTTAAGATTTTTTCCCCTCCCATTCCTGATTTTTTTTTTTCTTTGCTAATGTGATGAATTGATTATTCCTAAGAATTCTAAAGGGTACAGTCAGATAGCACTTGCAATGAGTTTTCAGTTATTTTGGGCCGAACATCCACTTTTTAAATGTTGTTTTCCTCTCTAGAATATGTCAGTGTCTCTATATCTAGACATCTAAATATCTTATTTTTGGTACCTTCATACAGTATTGTAGTTTTCTTTGTGTGAAACATGAATATTGCTTTGTAGTTTATTCCTAGTTATTATATGTTTTTATTTTGTGAGTGTGATATTTTGCCATTATATTTTCTACCTATTTAAAGCTAATATAGATAGGTAGATTGATTTTTTAATGTTTATTTTCTAACTAGCTATGTAAAAATTACATTAAGCACCTCTCCTTTTAAAGACAGGGTCTTACTATGTAGTCAAGGTTGATTTAGAACTTAATATGTAGCGCAGCTTGACCTTGAACTTGGAATTGTGCTGCCTCAGTCTCCCAAATGCTGGGATTATGGATGTCTACCAGCACCTCTGACACATTAACCTCTTTTTTTAGTCTTTTCTGTTTTTTTTTTTTTTTAAATAGACTTCCAAGAGTTATCAAAAATGGTAGTAACAGGCAGATGGAGAGATGTGGTGTATATATGTATGTTTAGTACTGTAATGGCTACCTTTGGCCTAGAGAAACAGGGTAATGTTCTTGAAAAACCAAATTGGCCATATGCAGAGACCACCTCTTCTGCTATTGTGATTAAGCCTGTGATGGAAAGACATCACCTCACCAGCCAAGGCTGAGCCTCAGTGGCTGCCTGCAGCATGGTGGTAATAAGCATTTGAGACATCTCCCTGGAAAAGACTGGTCTGCAGCAGACCAGCTGAGGAGCCCAAGGGCACCTGTCCTGGGGGCACTGGAGAAGACCAAGGAGTCAGACAGACTTGGGAGAGTTTTCCTTGTTGGGTAGCTGTTTCCTGGTTGTCTGACTTCAGTTAGATTCTCTGACCTCTGCGAGCTACAGTTTTCTCCTCTCTCAAAATGGAGAAATTAAGGACTGTTGCCTGGAATGTTTAATCAGGCTAAATGATTTTATGTATATAAAATGCCTAGCACAGTGACAGGCTCATTAGTATTGCTCAATAAAACACTGGTTATTGTCCTCTGTTCCTTAGTTCAGTATTCTACAAGGCATCTGGGGGAAAAGCCAGTTCCTCATATGTATGTGTTGTAAGCAGAAAAAGAAAATTAATGTCTTGTCTTTCTCTGGCTGTATTTTTATGTTTTGCTTCATTTAGCTCTTTCTCCTTTTCTTTCTTCTTTCACCCCCTCCACCAAAAGAGCCTGAGACTTTGCCATGCTACCCAGACTCCTAGGCTAAGATTACCTTGAAGATTGGTCTGTCACTTGATGTGACAGTGATAGAAAGGAAACATGTACACTTAGGAAGGTTGAGTGTATTTGATTTGTACACACATACACACACACACAATGCTGACCCCTATTCTGTGAGTGAAAGGCCACCACTGTTTGGTTTTCATTCACAGAGACTGATGGCAAAACCTCTTCACCAGCCTTTTGCCTGGCTTCTTGAGTGATCTGTTATTGAATTTCCAATTTTTTTTTATCTCAGGAGATTCTCTTTTGTTAGAAGAGACAAGATAGAGACCCAGACATTTTGCTCAGATAATGGGTTTGTATGTTTTGAGTTGGAAGCAACCTTAGAGAATTTGTGGCCTTATGTCTCTGTGTAGGCCTAAGGAGAGCCAGTGCACCAACTTCACAGTATAACAGAAACTTCTTTGCTCTCCTTTGTGATAGAGGTATCAAAAGGTATGTTCTTCTTTTATATCCAACAGTATAAGAATGCTGGAGTGATTGAGTTGGAAGCATGTGTCAAAGCTGTACGTGTCCTGGCAATTCAGAAGCGGAGCATGGAAGCTTCAGAATTTCTTCAGAATGCAGTGTACATTAATCTTCGACAGGTGAGTGTACTCCTGCCTCTGCAGACACCCAGATTCTTGGGACTTTATCACTCCTAATTGAGCTGGTTTTGCTGTGCTAGGATATAGAATGGCATTGATAAAAACTGTGGAGTTGTAGCCTGGTAGCCTAGTCAAAGTGGTTATTTGTATGTCTTACTTCTTTACTTTATGGGTATTTTACTTTCAAACCTCAGAATGTTCTGTCGAATTGAATTTTTTTGATTGGAGAAAGAAGTTTGCCTCCTACCGGCTTTGCAGCCTTGAGCATGCTTCATGGCTCTTGCCTTAACTTTGTCACTTGAAGAATGTTTGTCATTTGAAACCTGGTCTGGATTGTTAGATTTATTAAACAGGAAGTTGTGGGAGTTCTTTGTATAGCTCCTTTTATACAGTGGGCACCCCACAAATAATCTACGTCTGAATAGGTTTTAATAAAACAAAATCATTATTTAGTTTTATATAGATAATGCAAAATCTCCAAAGTGATGGTCTTAGGAAAATTTTAGATATTTAGCTTCTCTGACTTGGATCTTTACAAGGAAATTCAAGGGGAGCAAAGGCTCCAAAATGCCGCAGTTTGCTAAGGGCAGAGCCCTCCATGAACATATATAGGTCACTAGGTGACTGAGCAGACATTTAGCAGGCAGGGTTCTGCGTTAAGAGGCAGGCAGCTCTTGCCCTCCCTGAGCCGACAGTCTTGTGAGAAAAGCAGTGCACTGGACACTGCATAAGTGAAAGAGGTTGCATGAATAGGTGCCAAGGGAGCAACTGGTAAAAGCGTCTAGCTTCATGTGGTGGGTGCATACAGAGTTAGGGCCAGAGAACATGAAGCTGGTGTTGAGGGTAAATAGGAGTTTACCAGGCAGATGGCTCTATAGAAGAGATAGTCTAAACAGGAAGTTCTCACTGGCAGGTTAAACTATGCAGTGTTGGGAGAACAGGGAGGGAAGAGAGAGGGCCCCTTGAGGTCCACAGCCTAGCAGGAGGACTTTCCTGTCAGGTGGAGAATTGGAGGTTTGCTCTAAGAGCAGTTGGATTTTGGTTCTGTCTTTTTTTTTTGAAATAGGGTCTCACTATGTAGTTCAAGCTGACCTCAAACTCAGGGTGATCCTCCTGTCTTGGCCTCCTGAGTACTGGAATTACAGGTGTGCACCATTTTTGGTGTGCAGTTGGATTTAAAAGAAAGGTCTTCAAAGCAGGAAAGGAAGGGTCAAGTTTATATGGAAGAAGCGCAGAGATGCAGAGGTCTGGTTTGGGGACACTGGAGTGTAGGAGAACATGATGGTAGAAGAGCAACCAGGCTGGACACATAGGAAAGAGTAATGCTAACAGAGAGAAATTGGGGAATAACCCCAATTTCTGCTCAGTGCATCAGATGAATGAGTGTCAGGCTAGGTTCTGAAGGTGCTGGAAAAGACAGAGGAGAGGGCAGCTTTGGATAAAGGACAAGACTGAGCTGTTTGGATTTGGGGCTCGGGTGAGACAGAAGGCAGAGCAGGGAGGGGAGAGACTTTAAAATCACTTTCTACTTGGACTTGAAAAAGCACGATTGACAAGATGCTCCTGCCTCCATCATCCAGATTAACAGGGGAATGGCTTGCCATATTGAACTTAGAGCTTTTTATTTTTTTTCAGTAGAAAGAAAGTAAGTAGAAGCAAAATAACAGAGTTGACCCAATGATGTGTTGTTATCATCTTAGAGTTGTTAAGTATTCTTCCTGTCCATATTTTGATACTTTGTATATTTAGAGTCAAGGTCTATAAAAATAATTATTTTAGAATAATCACCAAGCATATGGACACAGACCACTGGGGTTTGAATTCTGGCTTCATTGACTTGGCCAAGATACTCGACTCTTTGTGCTGTGGGTCCCTCACTGATCAGTGCATTCCTGCCACTCCTTGCCCTTACCTCAGGTGACATCCTGGGTTAGGTATAGGAGTGAGGCTACCAAGGGTGGGTGAGATGGCAACTGTGAGCTCAACACCAAAGGCAGAGACAGAAGCAGAAAAAAGCCAACAAACCAAGAAAAATAAACAAATGAGCACAAGTCCCCAAATTGTTTCAGGCCATTTAGTGTAAGGGGAACAGTACCGTGTGAACTCAAAGCTGTTGATTGTTTCAGAACCAGTGGTGCACTGTGTCATCAGGAAAGGGTCAGGGGAGGTCACTGTCTTTTAGTTTGCATTTAAGCTTCCAATAAAGATGGAGTGGAGAAGCAAAGACCTTGCATTTCAGAGTGGAAGTTTCAGTTACCTGGGAAAAGCTGCCCAAGGTAGCCATCCATCCCCAGTGAGGAAGGGCAAAGGCCAGCTCGCTGTCTGGACTTCACTGAGCGTTTGACTCCATTTTCAGGTGCCCTACTTGGAGTTAAGCACTGTAGTCAGGCACGGGTTTACAGGGATGACGAGGGCATGATCCTGGCCCCGAAACAGATGGTCACGATGCCCTGAGCTGAGCACACACAGGCCTGGTGAGGTGTGTGCTCACAGGGGTGTGGTGTGGTGTAATACTCCACTTTCCAGGGCCGTGCCGTCTCGGGAGAAGAGACCCTTTATCCGGGGCCAAGAAGCCCCTGTGCAGGTATGACTGGATGCAAATACATAGCTGGATGTGAGCACCAGGAGCCAGAAACAGTTCAGGGGATGGAGTGATTTTATTTGTGAAGCGCAGTGAGGGGAGAGACGCTTCAAAGGCTGAGATCCTGGTACAGGCTGTGCTTGACAGTGGAGAATGCTGGGCCTCTTTGGTAGCGGAAGACGGTCCTGGGAGGCTTTGAGCCAGAGGAGGAGCAGCACATAGCTTTGGGCTCAAACTTCACCTTTACCACTTGTTAGCTGCATGACCTTGAGCCAAATCACTCAGTGATGCCAACACTTTATCTTTCCATTTGTGAAATGACAGTGTAACAAGCTCATGCAGTGATCAGAAAGATTAGCTTACGTGAGAGGCGCTGTCCTGTGCCTTTTCCCTGCCTGGCCTCTGAGAGGACTCTGCAGTGGGTATGTGTTGTTACCAGGTGGGAGGGCTCCAAGAGACATCTTTTGTGACAGAGTAGAGGGTGGATTATGCTTTTAAAGCAGACCCTTGGGAGGCCTGATGCAATACAACTGTAGACGGTTGGCTGGGAGCCTGCGGGGACGAGTGGGCTGAGGGAGCAGGCTGCAGCAAGGGAGGCTGGCCTCTTCAGACCTGTGTGCTTGCAATGACTGCCATTGTCTTTGAAAATTAATGCTGAAAATTTGGGGTTGCTGTGAAGCTGTTTCCACAGGTGGGCATAGAAATACACATATTTAACAAAATACAGTGTTTCTCCTTAAATCGGGTGGGCATTTGTTGCCTTGTGGAAGAGCCTCTCTGGTGTTGCTTGATCTCCTGCTGAACACTAGAGGACAGCAGAGGCTCACGGAAGGGCCGCCATTGCTCCCTGCTGCCAGGCACAGCGCCAGTGTGGTTGTTTGGCCTTTTGAGTTCTCCCCAACATGATGCTTTGCTTTAGTTGACTAATCTTGATGTTTGTCTGCCAGATGAGCAGGCAGCAAAATAATGAGTTCTGGTGGGATTTTATAATCACAATAAAAAGAAGGGCCTGTAGGTTTTCTAAAATAGAACAAGCCTTTGGTTCTTGATCCAGTGTGTTCCATTGTAGAACTGATGAGTTGTATCTATTCCTGGGGAATGATTTTGGCAAATGTGGAAATTTTGAAAAGAACTGAGATATTATTGCAGGTTCTTTGTGCCTTAAGAATCCCTGCACAAACACAAAAGTGATAAATAATGCATTTAGATTTAGTAGTATTGGAAAGGGTTTCTTTACAGAATTCACTGCAGAAATTCTTCCTCTTTGTGTGTGGGGACAGGGATTGACCTGTCCTTTCTTTAGTTGTTTAAGTAAGTGGTTTATGAAGATTGTCTAGCACTGACAAATCGCAGCAAATATTTCATTTAATAAATGACTGCATACAAATCTGCGTGTTGACCAGGAGGGTTTTGCAGGCAAATGGTGAGGCAGAGGTAAGAGAGAAGGGGCTTGGACTTCAGGCTCCCAGATTTAGGTTTAAATCAGCATCTCCTCACTGTGTGATCTGGAATAGTTATGTAACTTCCCTACCTTCCTTCAAATTTGTCTAATGGGAATGATAATACTGACTTCTCTCTAGACCAGTATGCACAGTGGCATGCACAGCGCTGGGTATCCTACTGGGCAGTGGAGACCAGTCAGGAAATGTGTCTGCCTCACTGGTGTGTACCAAAGGAAAAAAGGCAGCTCACATCATTTGAGGACCTGTTAACAGATAACTTGACAAGGTTGTGAATTGGGTCACTTTCTTTAGTCCTTATGATTCTGTGTTCCTTGTTCAGTTCTCTGTGTTTTCAGAGGAAAAACCTTGGGTTGAAAAAAGGTAGCATAGCTTGTCCAAAGTCAGATGATAGGTTGGCAGTGAAGGGTCTTCTGTGAGTGAGATTATCTCCTTTTTCCTTCACTTGTCTGGTCCAGAGAGGGCTGGGTGCTGCTGTCTGCCTTCCTGTTCTAATCTATTCAGTGGGCAGCAGAACACAGTCGTGTCTGAGCTTGACTACAAGGGGAGATAGCTAGTGAATAGATAAACATGGAAGTAAATCATTCCCAAGTGGGAAAGAACATGCCCTGCCCCACAGACTTAGGGTATTCTCTGATCAGGGCTGCTCTAGTGGTATTAATCCCAGGAAAATAAACTCTGTTACCACATGAAAATGACAATACCAAAGCCTCTCTCTTTGTTGTCACATAAATGGAAATTCGGATTGTACTTATTACTAAAAGAACGACTGGGTGGTTACAGGCATTTAGCACAGATATTGGACTTAAGTATTATGCCAGCTTTGTTAAGTACTTTATTGTACACAATTTTACTGCAGAAGAAATTGAGGGTGAGACCCAGGATTATTTAATAAAATCCACCTTTGATATTTGTACTGGTTCACTGTGATTCTAAAATCCAAGCTCTGTGTACTGCAT